TCATGGCACGACAACAAAGCCCATCGATAAACAAATCCCTTGCAACCTCCTCACCCTGTTCTCTCTTAACAAACAATCTATAAAACCTACTGCGATATTCTGTGATGGATTCGAGGGGCTTCTAGACTCGATCTTTAATCATGAAGAAGGTCTGTTCTGGTTGGATATAGTCAAATTTGTTTCAGAAGTCCCTCTCGAAGGTCAGGAGATTTACCCAAGTGCAAGTGTTGAACCAATGGTGCGCATCCCCTCCCAACTGGATGGGGATGTTGATTCTAGCCTTGTCATTGTCGTATTGCTGCACACGCGGCGTGGATAGCCATGCTCCAGCCAGATGATGTGTGAGATCGAAAAGGTACAGATCGGGCGGGGCCGCAGGTACACAAACTCGAGGGGCTGGAACCTCGCCAACACTTGGTGTCGGGTGGGCATTCATATTGGTTGCCTGCCGACCTGCCGATCTGCTCCTGGTAACTATAGGGTCGAGTCATGGCGCGTTTCTCTACCTAGGCCGTCATTTGCGCGCCGGATCGCTCTACACAACTTTCTCTTCTGGTCGGTTTCTGAGCCTGCCACGTTTCGTCTCCGATACCAACCTCACGCCCGATACGACTTTCTAATCGGAGTGAGAGTGGGCCTGGAAGTGCGAAAAGGAGGTGTGCTAAGGATTTTACTATTTAAGGAAAGTTTGGATGGAGTCCCAGGTCGGAACTGAGATCTCTTGTGGCAAGTTTCAGGGATATGAATGCAAAAGAGAGTAGGCGCGGGCTTATGTTTCAGAGAGCGGACCTACCGCCTTTGCTGGCTTTGTCGTCAGGGTCGGACTCGTATTTGGTGTACCATAGGGACGCTATGGCTATGTCGCTGGCTGATCACCTGTCGACGTCAAACATCGCAGGTCTTGGAATCCGACGAAGCCGGCCCCAGCCAAAGAATGTGCGCCCGTCGTTTTCTTCCTCCGAGCGAGTTCGCCCGAGGAAGCCGAAGGCTCGGTACTCGCGCTCTTGCAGGCACTCTGAGCACGGGGGTTGGGGCCAATAGGGAGTGATTGCTCGGCAAGGGGAGATGGTCAGGTAGTGAACGGGCAGTATACGGTGATAGGGAGGGAAGTCGGTTTTCAGAATAAGTATCCCGGGTTTCGCGACTCGGTGACATGTGTACGAGCTGATAAACTCGGGATGGTGGGGAATACGTTATAGGGCCTGATCAATATCCCACTCGCAAATACGTTCGTTCCCGGCCAAGTAGGGAAATTCCAAAGGTTCCATCCTCGATCGTGCAGAACGACAAACGTGTTCTCAATGTTCCCGAAATTTTCGATCCCACAGGCACTCGCGATCAGTGATACGAAAGGGGAGTTCGATATTCATACTGCGGGGTGGAGCAGAAATTCAGACATTCGGAAAGTCGGGCCGAGTACAGGTTTTGCAAACACGCGTGTAAGTCACGTCCTTCCAGTCGAGCTTACACGTGCGTGCACAAAGCCTGTTGGTCGGTCACACGGATAAGGGTCAACAACTCACAATCGGTACGTGCTGTCTTGTTAACTCGAAGGTGGGCAATCCTATCGCGAGGCAAACATCTAATCATCTATCAGGCTTATCTAGCAAAACATTAAACATCCATGCATCCAACTTCAAACGCTTACAATTAGCAAAAAAAAGGTGTTGGCCAATCGTCCATGCATCGAATCTTTGGCCACTGGACGAAGCTCATACAACATTCGATCGTGGGTGATTAACCAATCAATGTGGCCCATTCATACAGAGGGAGGAGGAAGGTGGGAGAAGCAATCATGCATCAATCATCAGAGACAACCAAAGAAAAAATCCGAGATGTTGATCGAAGACAGCAAGAGCGACTTGCGGCAGAAACCAAAATTACTCAGAAGAATAGAAGAAAGGCACCATTCCAATACATCTCGTCTCTCTCTCTCTCTCTCTCTGTCTGTCTCTCTCTCTCTCTCTCTCTTTCTCTCTCTCTCTCTCTCTCTCTCTCTCTCTCTCTCTCTCTCTCTCTCTCTCTCTCTCTCTCTCTCTC